TATCATTTCCACATTTGTAGTTCTAATACTATAATCAACGCATTCTTTTCTTTAAGAAAGCTTTATTACATAAGGCCATTGACTTGTCTAACTATTCGATATTAATATCTCGAGTACTTTCATTTGATTTCCTGTTCTTCTCATTTCATCGAGGGAGGTTTTACTATTTCCGTTTATCTATTCCTGTTAATGCGCAACTGTATAAACGGCATCTTTTAAAAGACAGACAGAAGGTTTTATTATTAACTAAATTTTGTCATTAAAGGTTCACAACAAAAATAAATAAAACTAAACTTTATAACTTTCAGAGACATGTTCTTTAAAACTACTGTGTTGAGTATGACGAAACCTAAAATATTTATAATTTTATTGATTTCTATTTGAAAAAATTTAAAATTTCGCACACTGAGAAAAAAAATTTGATTAAAACTACCAGAATATGGTAAAATTTACCGTGTTTCTGACTCTACGGGAACACCAAAAAGCTCGGTAATTTTTACCAAAGTGTTTAGATAACCATTATGGTGAATTTAAAAATAAAACATGGTTTTATAATATGGGATAAAATTTAGTAAATGTGGTAAAATTTGGTAGTTTTAGCATGATACCTTAGAGCATAACATAAGGACCATTTATTCGTTAAAATTTTCTTTTCGATTTTGTATTTTTTACTAAATGTATGGTAATGTGAATTAAAATTTTAAAAATCAGAATATCGGGTAGACCGCTGCCACATGAATAGAAAAATAACTAAATGAATGGCTTAAATACCGTATCATTTCGTTTTATTAACCAGAATTATGTTGTTACTTTTTACCAGAAATGTCATTACCAAACAGTATGGTAATTTTACCAGTTTTTCCGTGTTATATAATATGATATAACATTTAAATAATATTTATATAATTTATTTGTATTTATTTGTTAAAAATGTTAAAAATAAGGTAAATTTCAATCTTTTCTTTTTAATTATTTTGAATCATTTTCTTCTTAAAAAGGTACGCACTAGAATTAAAGTAAAAATTCTTTCGCAATTTAAACTCTAAAAAAAAATTATCAAAAAAATTCTTCGTCAAAATTAAGCTGAAAGAAGCTAATTTGGGGATATTTTTATAGCTGTAATCAACTTAGTCTGTTAATTATAGACCTATAAAAGGCTAATAACTTATCTTTATCAATTTATGAAAAGCAAACTAACTAAAATAAAACACTTTGAATTCTACTTATAATCTTTTATGGACCTTTTTATTTATATTGGTCTATTATATTACCAATTCTGACAATAGATGATGAACTACCTCTTTTAAATTACAAAATACTTAAAAAAAGGAAAAACAACCGAGTTTAAAGCGAAACACTTTTTTTTCAAACATTTTAAGCCTCAAATCAAAACTAACTAAACTATTCAAAGGTTAAAGTATAGTTCAGAGAAAACTTTTCCAACTATAAATTAATGTTTTTAATAAATTCAAATATATTCACTTTTTATTTCAGCAATGCATGTTAAAGGTCGATTTTACCCTTACTTGCAGGTTGAAATTATCAGACTCGTTTACATTAATATCATTATCAACCTGTATTTACAACCTTATTTTTTTATTATGACCGACAAATTCATATGAATAAAAATAATTTTCATTTAAACTTCACCAAAACTAGACTTTTAAAATTCAAGTCAATTAATGTAGTATTTTAGAAGCTATTGAGTTTGATTTTTTTTTTTTTTAAATTAACTACAAATGCATTTTAAATAACTCTTTAAAACTATCCCTAAGGAAATTTTCTATAATACTTAATGTAAATTACTCTCTTGATTCAGTGAGTAAACATTAAATAATACACGCCCTACATTCTATTGTTACACAGCTTTATTAGAATTTATCTCCTGCTAGGAAAGACAAAATAAAATCGTTTCTAAGGGCGAAACATTAAAAGTGACTACACCTTTTAAATTATAAAAATAGGTCAAAAAAATTACTTACCATAACATTTTTCAGTTGGAATATAATAGGAATAATTTGTTTAAATAGAAATTGACAATTATTTGTTTTGAAAATGACTCTATGTTAAGAAAATGTAAAAAAAAAATTATCTTTTTACTCTGATAACGAATATTTCAGGGAGAAAAACAAAAATTAGTTGATAGACTGCATTAAAAGTAAATAACTAAATTAATAATACAAGGTTTCTTAGTGATAAGTATATTACCTTGTTATTGTTACTTGTTATTATTTTTAAAAAGTGAAGCATACATCAGTTATGTAAACTGCTATTCTAAAACCACTTTAATGTCTTTTCTTATTGTTATTTTATTCAAAAATTCTACATTCATATTTTCTAGTGTTTGAAATATGTTAAAATTATTCTCTCATTTTGCTCAACTTAGAATTATTGCTGTTAAAATAATGTGATATTAAAAGGAGTGTTGATATGATATATCCTATTTTATTCAAAATTTCTTTTAGCAGAATTATAAAAAATCAACTTTTTATAATGATAACAAAAATTTCATTATCAAAAAAACATATCAAGTAAATCAAGTTCATACACAATGATAATAATTTAAAAGAAATAAATTGCAAAAAACATTGCAAATTCTAGTTTTTACTAAAAAGAACTCTTTTTTACAACCTGATTAGCCTAGTTTGCTTTTTGAAAAGTGATTATAGATGAACTTATATTTTGACATAAGAACAAAAGAGTTAAAATGGGAATATAACTAAATAATTGGTGAAAAATACATTTAGCAAATTACATTTTAGTGCTGCCAGTTGTGAAAAAAAAGCTCTTTAATAATAATAATAATCTGGAAATTTAGGCAACAAAACTCAAAATAGGAAAATAAGTTTAATAAAAACATGAAAGAAAGTATTTAAGTAGTAAAATCATTAAAAAAAGGAAACATTTAAATTGGTAATATTTGTAGAGCTTTACATATAAACGTAAACTAGGAATAAACCCTTTATATATGTATATACATAAAGGGTTTATTCCTAGTTTACGTTTATATGTAAACAATAATCTGTTGTTTAAGAATAAACTTCAGAACAGTAGAATCTGTTGTTTAAGAATAAGCTTCAGATTCTTTATTTAATTCTGAAGATATTCCACATAGATCTTATTGAGCGTATTATATTATAATCTATGTTTATGGCAGAACAATTCTTGAAACAATGCAATTATGATGCACGAGTTGTTCTGCTTTCCCGACTTGTCAGATTTAAATAGGCTGCAGCTGCTTTATATGGTGTAAACCTTATCTCCAGGTGATCGTTTGATCCCTATGACCTTCGCAGTTTATGTCCTTGTTACATACATGCCTATTAATTGATTTATGCGCTTCAAGAATTCTGATAGAAAGCGTCACGCTTCTGCTTCAACGGTTACGAGTCGCATGCCAAGAACGTGTACTTTCTTCTCAATTACATTCTTTGTTTTATTATAAATGTCTTCCATGGTGCCAAATTTTCTAAAGAGTCTTGTTATCTATGAGCATGAGCGTTAAAAGCCGTCCTCAATAAAATAATTAGAGAATGACCATTTAGGAAGTAATATGTTAAGTCATTAATAATAAACAAGTTATATGTTTTTTTTTAACATTTATACTTTGTCACAGATTTAAATTTGTTTGCCAATTTGTTTGTCACAGATTTAAATTGCGACTAACAACGAAAACAGTTGGGAAAGTGAGTAGGAGTCTTCGCTTTCACGACGTGGGTCGGAATTCGATTTGATCGAAATTCGATGGGTCGGAATTCCATTCGTTCGGAATTCGATGGGTCGAATTTTTATTCGTTTGGAATTCAATGTATTGTAATTCAATGATGTCTTATCAGATTGTACTTTCTCTGATTGTACTTTCTCTGATTGTGCTCTCAACAGTTTCAGAGCTAGAAAAATTCATGTACGGTTTTGTGAATGGTGCAACAATCTGCCTTCCGATCTAAATTGCTGCACTGAGAACCAATATTGTCTTAGGATCTTGTTTTCTAACTAAGAATAAATCTCAGACAGTCTCCAATAACACACACAAGTATAGTTCTTGGGGATCTCAACTATCAAATAGAGCAAACCTACATCGGGAAATTAATTTATTTTTACCGAAAACATGATCTCTTGGCGAAGTCCTATAGGTCATAAGAGCCGTATGACTTAAGAAAAAGTAAGGAATTGCTCCGGATTTTTAGGATACTTCGACGAAATAAATTGGGAAAGAAATTTAATATAAATGTTTAACTTCTAAAGAAAAAATAAATTCAGTTTGATATTTCATTTTTATTTTTTTACGTTAAAGAGAAACTTGAGTTAAGTTTTTATAATGCTAGTTTTTATTATGCTAGCATTTCATGAATAAATATTCTTCTGCTTTTTTAAAAAGGGAAAAAAAACAAGTGAAGTACTTGATTGAAAATTGTTGAGTAGAACAGAGCGTCGCATATTTTAATGAGCTCGTGTTTCCTTTCCATGCAAAACATTTTAAAGCGATCTCACAAATATAAATGAAAATCTTGTGGTATTATAATGAGCGGTATTATAAATATAAATGAAAATCTTGCGGCCCCATTTTCAAATTATTAAAAAAAGCTTTTTTAATGAAAAATGAAAAACACCATGATTCCCATATAGGCAATAAGATACTGTGTTGTTATCTAGTGAAAATTCTGCAGTTATTTGGTCGAAAATGTTACTTTAGAAAAAATACATGGCTTCAATTCTTTGTTATGAATAATTGAAAACAATTGTGATGTGTTTTTTTTTTACCAAAATGAACTATCGTTTTAAAATAAAGCTCTTCGCAAATGCTTATGGTTAAAAACATAAACTGAAATAAGATATAAGTAATACAGAAATAAGAAAGCGTGGTAACTTTTCTAGAAAAAGAAATCTAAAAACACGCTGCAGCATTATTTATTGCTTTTATTGTGTAGTACTATTACATTATTTTTCTAAAAACTTGTTTTGATTGCAGAAAACTTAAATTGCCTTTTTTTTTCTTTTAGCTGGCTGCAAAGTAACAGATCAAAATTTGGCCATAGAATTTTAATGATAATAATGGGATGCACTGCATTGTTTGGGATTAGCTATCTTTCTTCCAATGTTGGACGCCAGCCACGTTTTCCGCACCCGATAAGTAAGTTTTTCCAAAAAAGATCTCTAATAAATTTTACTCATTATTTATTACAAGAATCAAACAATAGCTGAGACAAGAAAACAGCAGCAACATTTGTTTACATGATTTTTTGCTTTGATATTCTGTAATAAATTTGTCTAAAATAGTTTCAAGAAATAATCGGAAATGCCAATGAAGGTAAGAGAAATTTTGATAAATTTTTACTGTAAATTTAGAAGAGAAAAAAATAAGTGAAAAAAAAATTTTATCACTAAGAATGTTCAATTTAAAATAAAAATTAGTTTTTGAAAATAACTATTTTACATCTTGTCAAAATCTTTGATGCATTTCATTATTACATACATTTATATAAATTACACATAAAATGGTCAAAAACTTCTATCAAAATCTGACAATAATCGTGGTCGTTATGATCCAAAGTGAAATTTAAAATAATCAATTTTTTAAATATAAAACTGTGAGGTTTTGTTTGACAAATAAGCTGGTTTTTGATTATTTTAATTTCACCTATTCCTCACTGACATTAATTGTGGTTTTTACAAAGAAAATATTTGCGATTTTGTAATTAAGACATGTAAAATGTAAAGTAATGCGCGATCTTACTTTGCTAAAAAAATTTAGTGGCAAAAGATGTTCTAAAAATCAATCGCAACATTCAGAAATAAGTTTCAATTTGTTGTTATTTATTATGGTTATTTATACTTTGTCGTGTTACCTGAAACATGCAAGAGAGACTTGCACAGTTATACATCACAAAAAAGTTTGAAAATTAAATGATAAAAAATAGTAACTAATGCTATGGTTTTCATATGCAGTTTCAAACAAGAAATTGCGAGGTGTTTTGAAATGTAGTATATTTTTATTTACAGCAAAAGAAACAACCAACCATCTTCGGTAAAACTTAACAAGCTCTTTAGTGTTCCCACAGAGCCACAAACACCGTAAAGTTTACCATATTCGGGAAATTTTGTCCATACTTTTTTTCCCAGTGGGGTTGTTATGATCAAAAGTGAATTTTAAAATAATAAAGTACCAGTTGTTTGAAACATTCAGAATTGTGTTTTAATTAATTGTTATATGATATGGAACGAATTTAAGTATAAGTGCGGCTTGTTACTAGGAAATAGAACATGCGGGAGAGACTAGCATTTGCAAAAACGCGTTACGTTGCAAAAAAAAAAAAAAAAGTTTCTAAAGGTTCGAATAAACATTTCTAAGCGTTCAATGGCTGGTCAATTCAAATTCTCCTCACGACTAGTACCTACCTCAGTGCTGGCGTAAAAATATCATCGATGATAGGTGAATCATGGATTAAAATCCTTTTACTATAGGGTTAACTGTCGGAGGTTTTCGTGATTTTTCCCTCTATGTAACACAAATGCGGATCAGTTCCAACAAAAGTTATTCGAAATGGTAGTTTGACCCAATGTTTTACCCAGGAATTTCCTTATCTTCAGGGTTAGGTTCAAAATTAAGTCAATGGTGTTGAAGATTGATAGCCGTTCGACGCCGGTTATAAATATTAATTAAATGATAAAAGATATAAATGCTTTGGATTTCAGAGGGTATCCAATAGATGCTCTAATAGCTGCAAGTGAAAAATTTCAAGGTGTATTTAAAAGTAGTAAGTTATCATTTACAGCTAAGGAAACAATTTTATAAGCGAAACGACTATAACAAGTGGGTTAGCATGATTTCAGCTTTTATAATTATTATTATTTTAAGTTTTCTCGAAACTAATGCCAGCAGCACGACACAATATCCATAGAAATTCAAATCCATAACCTCTGAATTTAAAATAACGAAAGTCGTACAAATTAGTGTATTTTACACCATTAATGTTCGATGCGATATATCCCTAAAATAATCCATGACATTTAGCAGAGAGCAGGGGCATTCATCTTTTAACAGAAAATCAGATATTGTCTTCACCAATGTTGGACAGTATTCGCAGTATGCAAAGAAGTGCCATTTTGATGATAGTAATAATATTAATTTGCGTAAATTTGTAAGATTTGGCAAAAGATCTTTTTACAAAAACTCTTTTTTCAGACTTAAGTACAAATTTTAACCCCCTTTTAACAATGAAAACCAACGAAAGTTTTTCTCTCTTTGAAAAAACTCCTCACTATATTATTGTAGATGCTGTTTGAAATTGAAATCTATGCAACAATTTTTTAACGTGTAACATATGTCTTGAATCGATATTGACCACGATCATTTATTTTAAGGGGAATAAGGAGGTTGTTCCAGAACAAAGCGTTTAGCATCTAAAAAAGACCAAACCTTCTCTGGAATGACATGAGTGAATTCTGGCATTTATGATCTTTCAAAAGCTTTGTATGCATTTGCAAAGGCTTGGAATACTTCATGAAATTCTATATCATAAATTATTTGACAATAGAACTTTTGATTTTTGCGTTCGTTAGATGGGCTGTTGGACACTCTGTTATATCATAAACAGTGCTGTTTGTCATATAACTTAGTTACATTTTAACTTGTCAATAACTTAGTTGCATTTTAAATGCATCACAGGACTCAGTACACTTATTTCGAAAATATGTGGCATCTAAAGCTAAATTACCCGACATTGAAATATCTAATTGGAATTTTTAACGCGATCAGTACGATCATCCGTAAATTATGGTAATGCCGAATTTATTTCAAGCGAACATTTAACCGTTCGAACTTTTGTCCCCCTCTACACTCTCAGAAAAATCGATTCAAAGTTAAACAAAAATATTGATATCTTTAATCATGTCGTCGGTGTCTTGAACCGTAGTATCGTCTAAATTTGTTGCAAACTTAATGAGGTATTAAATTCAGCCATGTTTCGGTTCAAGTTGAACCCTACCCTTGAGTAAGCACGTTTTAAAACGATGATAATATGGTTCAAGTAGGCACCACATTAAAGTTGCTGTAAAGTTGAGCAATATTATAGATCAGCATGCTCTCGAAAATCTCTAACAGTACTCTATGTTGAAACATGTTTCAAATCTTAATTGATTTTTCCAATGTCTTTTTTAGATTGCCCAACTGAACTAAGAACATGGATGAAAACAGCAAGACTTCCTAAACTCCACGTTCTTCTGCTGTCATATCCTAGAAGTGGATCTTCCTTTCTTGGTGATTTGCTCCAAAGCTATAGTGGAGCATTTTATCATTTTGAACCACTCCACTATTTTGGAAATGTTGTTGCTCATAATCAACTGGACTCAGCTAGGAAATTAATGCATGATTTATTTACATGTGATTATAGTGATTGGGGGTCATTTCCAGAATGGGCATGGTTCAACAGTGATTATTTAACATTCAGAAGAAATAAACGATACTGGCAAATGTGCACGCATAAAGACAGCTCACGTATGTTGTGTTATAACGTCTGTTACCTCGCAGTAGCGTGTCGTAACTCACCAGTCCAAATTATAAAAACTATTCGAATGGCTGCTTCTGAAGCAGGAAAACTTTTACAAGAATACAAAGATCTGAATTTAAAAATTGTCCATTTGGTAAGAGATCCAAGAGGTACAATGAATTCAAGACAGCATAAAGATATTGCTGCATGGTGTGGAAAGTACAAGGCGTGTGCATCGCCACAAACTTTCTGTGAACTGGTTAATGATGACCTAAAACATGCTTGCGAACTACAAAAGCGGTTCCCTGATAGGTATACCTTAATTCGATACGAAGATCTAGCTCTTGACCCACCTCAAGCTACGGAAAAACTTTTTAAATTTTTGGACATAGGTCCTGTACCCAGTGAAGTTGCTCAGTTCTTAGAAACCCACACTCAAGGTGGACCTTACGTCAGTACTACGTCATTTCTCCAACCTCCATACAGAACTGTAAGAAATTCTACGCAAGCGGCTTTAGAATGGTGCCGCAAAATGAAATTAAAGGACATTCAAAAAGTTCAACAAAAATGTCAGGTTGTTTTAGAAAAATTAGCTTATAAAACAGTAAATAGTACACTAAATTTAAGCGTAGAAAATATCTTAGGAAATAAACCACAATTTTGCGCATCATCTTAAAATAATGACAGTGATTTCATTATTGATTTTTCATCATAATGAGCAACTTGATTCGTTGCGCAATGGAGCCAGTACACTAGCTTGTGGAACATAATGTTCGAAGGCCATACTAACCAGTTTCTCCGATAGGGTTGAAACATCGATACTTGTCTTCCTTTTTTATTGAAAAAGCCTTTTAAATCAACCATATCTGGGTTACATCGTAATGGGACCAGTTAAAGAATGACATAGAAAGGCAATATTTTGCTGTCATTTTGTACTGAATGGACATTCCGACCACTGTAAATGCATGATAATTGAATATACGTTCTCCACTCAAGGAATACACATTATTAAAAAAAAGAACACCTGTTAAAATCTTGCTAACATATCTTGAAACTAGCCTGAATTGTTCTAGACTTGAGTAAAATGTGGCTGGGTTTTAAGATTTTAGAATGAATTGTGCCAATAGCTTAGAAACAATGAATAGTATTTAAATTTCATAAATATTTATTACAATAATCACTTTGAAATATATATATCTCATAATGCTCAGTCTTAAACATAGAGTCAATCGGGGCTAATATGAAACAGAAATTATTAGGTAATTAGTCGTTTTATAGCTCTTTAATGTTGCAATTTATTCATTTAAAATGCTTTTAAGTACCGAAAAGCTTTTAGATGGTTATATCAAACTGTTTAATTTTTGAGCATAAGCGTAATCCTGATGGTGTAATTTAGAGAATTTAGTAATTTTAGAAAACTGCATTTCATGAAATGCTTATTTTCATTTAGTCTAAATGGTTTTTGTTGTATGATAGAATTGCTTCAATGAGTATTAATTTCATAATTGAAGTATTTTTTTAAGTTAATTTACAATTTTTTCTTACCTAAACTTTAAATATTCCTAATTAACGTAATGATTTAAAATAGTATTTTATTAAGTAATAATTTAAATAAGTAATGACTATAGCATGAAATGAAAGTAATATATAAAATTTAAATGGTTTATATGGAAATATAATAATATTCTTTAAACCTTTGAAAATAGAATCAAAGAAATGTTAACTGCTCTCTTTAGCTTAATTTTACTGATTCTCTTTATCTTTTAAATAATTAACAAAACTGCGTAGAGAGTTTTTTTTTTCTTAATTCACAAAGGTTAAAGGAAAGGTTAAACTGATATACGGGTTATTTTCATAATTCGATGTCATTTGGAAGTTAAAAATACTTTTTAAAAAATGCTATAATATTGAGAGTAGTTTTAAAAATGATTAAATACACATAATTCTTCAACACTTTTTGAATGTTTTTTATACAATTATTAATTATTATTAATTATTTTTAATTGATTCTTTTTAAGCCAAATACAATGATAATTGTCATAGCCGTTGCCATAATCCTTATTTTTTTCACATTTTTTAGACAAAGATACTTCATATAGCTTTTAATATTATTAATAGTATGCAAATTTAAATTTTTAAAACAAAGTCTTGTAAATAATATCACATCTATTAATTACCAGATAAGGTAACTGGTTTAACATATTAAGAAACAAAAATTCAGGAAACTAAATATTTCTAAGAAATATATCAAATTTCTAAAAGGTTTAGATTTCAATTTGATTACATTAGACCATTTTGATTGGATTTGAGTTGTTAAAATAAAAATTTACTTCACTGAAGGATCCAGTTGAATAAATAAATATTTTTTTATACAACTAATTGAAGTAACAGATAGGGCATGGTAAAAAAGCTCTCTTCATTAAAAACATTCTGTTTTTTTCTTCAACCAAATGAACATTCAATAAAATTAACTTAATAAACGTTCAAAATAGCTGCTTATGTTTTTGTTGTTTTTTGTTAGCAATCTTTAATGATAAACCAGAGTAGTAATACGAAAATTTCAATTGTGTAGTTTAAAAAATGTGAATAAGTGTATGGTAACTAACATAACATCAATTTACGAAGAGAGATATTTAGCTATACAAAAGTTAATATTTTTATTAATTTTTTTGTATAATCTCTTTATAATGTTACTTAGAGTGCTCGCATTCAACACAAATATAAAATAGGACAGAGTAGTTATTTGTTTCTTTCTGGAATCAATTCAAGAAAACAGTGTGGTCAAAATAACCAGAATTCGGAAAAATTTACCGCGATTCTATGTAAACGCCAATTATCGCGAGAATTTTTACCGAAGCGTTTTGGTAATGATTTTGGTGAAATTAGCAATAGAATATGGTTTTATAACATGCGATAAAATTTGGTAAATGTAGTAAAATTTGGTAATTTTATCAAGCTTCCCTTTTAAAAACTTTTTATTCGGTTAAATTTAGTTTTCAGTTTTGTATTTTTTACTAAATGTTTGGCACTGAAAGCCAGTACTTTTATAATTTTAAAAACCGGTTTTTCCAGTAAACCGTTGCCATATGAACGGAAAAAGTCACCAAATTAATGGTTTAAATACATTATATTTCGGTTTTACTAACCAAAATTACGATTTTTTTTTTCTTTTCTTTTTACAAGAAATGTCATACAATACAGTAATTTTACCAGAGTTTTTTTTCTCTGTGTTTTAATTTCTTAAAAATATTACTATTTCCTAAATGATGTTTAATATTTTTAGTACTTGAAAGTGTTTACTAAATCTTATTTTATGAAGGAAATCATGTAAAGTCATCAATTTATAAAAAAAATACATTTCACCCAGACATCAAACGCCACCGAATTATGAAAATTATTTATACATTAAGATACATTTACAATACACAATTACTATTCATTTTTATTTTATTGACTATGTTTAAGATTTACAACGCAGACGTTCTTCTCTTAAGATTTATATTTCAAACAAAAATCAAAGTGATTACTGTTCAATTATAAATATCGAAAAAAAATTATGTTCCTATTTGCCTCATTGCCATTTGAATCTCAGATTGTGTTTGTCTTTTTATTTAATCCTTGAAATTTGTTTAATAGCATCATAAAGCATCATTATTTCAAGCTTCTTACATCAACGTTTTTTTTTTTTAAATATTATATAGATTTTTTTCTTAAGTTTAAAGGTTAAAGTTAAAGTTAAGTTTAAACAAGAATCAAAGCGACTACTTTTCAATTATAATACCAGAAAAAAGTATATTCCTATCTCTCTCGATGCCATTTGAATTCCAGATGGCGTTTTTATTTTCATTTTATACATGATATTGTTTTATAAACATTGAAAAATTTAATTAATTGTGTCAATCACTTTGATGAAAAACATTTGAGATACATGTCAAGCGGTATTTAAAAGAAAAATGAAAAAAAATTAATCAAAAACATTGAATACATTTTTCTTTTACACCATATACTTCAAATAAGAATCAAAAAGATTACTCTTCAATTAAAATGCCGGGGAAAAAATTATGTTCCTATCTTACTAGTTGCTATTTGAATTTTAGATTATGTTTTTATTTTCATTTAATCAAATGCATTCTTTTATGAAAATTGAAAATTGAATTAATTGTATCGATCATTTTCTTGAAAAACATTTAAGACCTATATCGAGCGTAGTTTAAAAAAAGGGGGGGAAATAGCGCAGAAACATTAAATACATTTTTATTTTAAATTATGTACTTCAAATAATAATCAACTACTATTCAATTAAAATACTAGAGAAAAATTATGTTTCTGTCTTTCTAGATGCAATTGAGTTCCAAATTTTGTTTGTATTTCTATTTGATATTCCTTTATAAACAATAAAAATTGAATTAATTTCATCAATCATTTTATTGAAAAAGATTTGAAATATATATCAGGCGTCAATTAAAAGAAAAAGGAAGAAAATGCACACGACTATGGAGAGTTAAAAGAACTTAATTTAAATATTGTGAAAGAATTTAGATAATCAAACTTATTTTATACAAAGGCAAGAAAAGTTTTATTTTTCATATAATTCGAAAAATATTGTTATGATTAGTTTTATGAACATAAATAATAAAAAAATAGTGAAACCACTTAAAATAATATGTACCAACTTTTACTATTCTAATTTTTCTCATTTCAAAAGAGTTAGTAATGATGTAGATTCGCGGATAAAGTAATAATAAACTGATGGTAGTTAGTAAAATGTTGTTAAACTAATCGTAATAGTCTTTAGACTTTTCTACAGCAATAGTTTTACATAAAAGCTTCATAAGCTTATAGTGTCCTTTTTTCTAGACAACAATATGTTATTGAGAATATTAAGGCATATAAACATTTTTCTTTTTTTTATATATATATATGACAAAAGGGAAAATTCATTTTGTTTCTGATATTTCTAATATACTTTAACCCTAAAAACTTGAGAGATTCAGCTACAACACGCTACTGTTGTAGCTTGTAGATTAAAAAAAAAAACTTTCAAATGCTAAGGGTAAAATAATCAGTATATGACAAAATATCTCAAACTTTAGATTAGTAAGCAAGTAAAATAATTTATTGCAAAATTGAACCTTAATATAAGCAATAAATGAGCGTGTATTGTTCTATTTTTAATATAATATTGGTATCTAAAGTGATGGTATGTTTATTTTTTTTAAATAACAATAATAATAATAAATGAATAAAAAAAAGAACGTCAATTTTTTTTTAAGTTCTTATTCCAAGAAAACTATTAAATTAAGTAAGTATTTAGTTTTGTGACATAAAATTCTGGTAGATATACAGGGTATTCAGTAATGTCCACCTTTTGTATAGTTTTAGAATCTTTGCCCAAAATAAAGTAAAAAGCATATACATTAGAACTTGCATATTGCTATTTAAGCAACGAAAAAATAAAAACGCTTTCGAAGTCTAATCAACCACTACTAAGGAAGACGAAACTGGCATCATCAAAACCAATTTTGATGCTTTCAGTACCGTTTTCCACAGTGATGGTTCGTAAGATTTAGATATAAATTTTGTGCTCTCCTAGCTTACATATAAGTTTGAGACAGTTTATGTGTATTCTTTATTAATTTCATTCTCGATAAGAATTCTAAAAATATATAAAGGGCGACAACTACGGAACATCCCACATCCTTTTTTTAAATTTCTCATAAACTATGCTGTTCTCTCTAATTTTATAGCTTGTATATTTTTAGAAAAATATTGCTGTTACCAATGTCTGATCAATTTAATTTCGAACTGTGTAGTATTTGTTTTAATATTTTTCTGGTAATAATGTTCTAAATACCAGATAGTACTTTATAAAAAAAAACTGTATTTGTTGCTTAACAAAAACATACAAAATAATTTATTTTGAGTAGAGGATATTATTACTTCATATCTGTTGTGAGTTTTGTTACTATCTTGATAAAAAGTTAATCAAATAAGTATACTTAAAAATTTATGCATTATGTTCCTAGTCCGATTCTTTTTATTGTGATAATGTTGAACGTAATTACGTTTATGTTTATACTAAACTTGTTACTTGTTTCATGATATTTATTTCATTTTTCCAGTATTATTGTAATTCAAAACATCAGGGCTGGAATCGAATATAGTTTATTGACAAAAAGATTTGTTCAGAAAAGGTTGTTATTTTGTTCAGGAAGAAACCATTGCAGAAATTGAAAGGAAAAAATTTATTTTACAATCTAAAATTTAAATACAAGACAAAATTACAGCCTATAATGTCTCAGTGTGTTTTTTAATAAATAATCTTTAACTCTCTGGGTGTTAGTTCCAGCTTTTTTTCTAAATTCTTGGCAGCAAGCTTTCCTGCATCAAAAAACCGATATCCCACATGTTTTTCAATAAGAGAGTAAAGCATTGCAGAGAAATTTTCGTACAGTTTCACCTAGAGGCTCAACACTTGGAGGGTTAAAATTTATATTGTGTCC